AATGTGCAGAGAAGAAGGCCAACGCTTGTATGTCCTGCTAAAGGAATTATTTTTAAACTCAGGATATCTGTTTTTATGATTAATAGAATGATGCTTTAATAGTAGTGCAGTTGCTATGAGGAACTTTTTAGATCTAGAAGGCCATTTGGGGGGGGGAGAACCATAGCTTAATAATTAGAATATATCCATTGTGTTCGGAACATCTCAACTTTAGTTTTTCCTATATTCAAATAGGGCTTCAGCAAGACATCGTAATGAATCAATCCTAGGCAGTTTCAGTAAACTGTATGGAAACTGGACCACTCCAGTTTTCTCAAATATAACATGCAGAAAAGTCTGCAAGCGAGCAGGATGATCAGGCAATGCAGAAATATTGTGAAAGTCGTGAGAACATCCTTTGATACCTTTATGATGGTGGATGTATGTTTGTGTTCAGTTTTTTATTCTTATTCTGAAGATTTCTCATGTAATCTATAGATCCATTTATTTGGGTATTTAGACATTTGTTTATATATGAAAATTTATATAGCCACCCAACTCACCCTCAGTGATTCCGCGTGGCTTACAAAGATAAAAACCCAATATAAAAACAATAAAAAGCAGTAACTTCCCACCTGTGCTTAAATTTCATCTGCTTCTGTTGCTCTCATGTGGAAAAATATCGTTTTCTGGCACTGTTCCTACATAACATCTTTTCAGTAAAAATGATGGGCATTTTTGCAGTGATTCCTAGGCTCATAAGGAAAATTTGAGATAGATTTTGAAATGCTGTTGTCCAGAACTATCCTGACACAAGCAAGAGCTACAGTTGATATATCCCAGTTCAAAGCAATGATGGAACCAGGTTCTGGCATGAATGCCAGTTCTGTAGCATATATTGTATATCAGTGTTTCTCAACCTTAATGACTTGAAGAGGTGTGGACTTCAACCCCTAGAATTCCCCAACCAGCATGGTGGAATTCTGAGAGTTGAAGTCCACATCTCTTTAAATCTCCAAGGTTGAGAAATACTTATGTATAGGGATGTCAGCATGGCGGAGGAATTCTGGGAGTTGAAGTCCACAAGTCTTAAAGTTGTCAAGGTTGCATAACCCTGAGCTAAGGAAACGGCTTTCTTAACTCAACCAATCCAGTTCTATATCTTCATTCCTTGGCATCTTCTAGATACCAAGCAAAAAAATCCAACCCCACCATTTTTATTGATCTTGACATTTTAAGTAGTAAGGAAAGGTAATAGATAACACCTATAATTCTATAGTCTGAAAAGGGGCAGTAAGAAAGATTAAATTAAATGTTAAACCCAAAAGATTTATAAATTGTCTTTACCTTGGCAAGAAACTTAATCAAAGTTTTATGACAGAAGGTTAGCTGAAATGAAATAGCACAATCTTACTTAATTTCTATGTAGCACCCCTTGTTTTGGGGGGAAATTGTGGTTGATGGGATTGTGTCCAATTAATAGAGGTAACCTCACTTCAGTCTTCCTCTCTACTTTTTCTACTGTTTTTAAATTTCCAGGTAATATTATTAGCATGAATACTTCATATTCATGCTAATAAGCCTGAAGAAGAGCCTGTAACATAAGTAAGCAGAAGATAATGTTATTTATTAAGACTATGGATAAAAATGTAAAGAAATTTTTTTCCAGATAAGACTGTCATCTTTGAACCATATGTTTTCAGCAACTAGACCTTGTCTGACATATGTTTAATGTGGGGTTATATATGATGTAAGCCTAACAAAGATAACCTTCGTAAAAGAAATATAGGTTGTGCTTTTATTCTGATAATAGCTCTTACTGAAAATAACAGTATCAGTTGTTACTGATTTTTTTTTAAAAAATGCTTTCATCTTTATTTAAATAGGATAAGGGATTGAGCAGAGAGATCATAAAGTTTCAAAAGTAGATGTGTCCAGGGAAGGTCTTTGGGTGTAGTGGTGTAGTTTTTATTTTTCTCTAGCAAAAGGAATTTATTTATGCTGAGTCAGAGCTGTACAGTATTGGGATGTTGGGTGTAGCTTAGTAGGAGCAATAACAATAAATGTTGCACCATTTATCTTCATATGCTGCACAAACATAGACTGAACCCAGAAATTATTTTAAAAATGTATTTTGAGGAGCTATAACAAACAGCAAAAATATATCAACTGGTGGCAATTTTACTTAAAACAAATATAAGCAAAATGAAAGAAAAAGAAATTTGAACAGTTTACCAAAAATCTTTTAGTTTTACACAGACTTAATAAAGCAAATAATTGTAGAAATGATGGCTGGTTCTAGATAGTTGAATGTCAATCAGACAGTGTCAGATAAAGTGATATTGATATTTTGCAGAAATAACAGAGAGTAGATAAATCCCTCAAAATCAGGAGGAACACCAAAAGAAATGGTCCCTTACTACTTTTTTAGACATCCCACAAAAATCCTGACTTAAATGATTCTTTTAGAAGTGCCAGTCCAAAGTCACTGAAAAGGATTTTTTTTATAGCAAATCCTTTAATTGGTCCCCTGCAAAGATCTGTTTTGTTCTCTGTGTCTGGGGATGCTTTACTGTTATATCTGGATGGTTGCAGTTCGATTCTTAAGGAGGAAATGGCATTCAGATTGTGGAAAGCTTTGTCTTATTCATTGCATATTGGATGATGACAGCTTTGAGAAGCAGCAAAAAATGTGGTATTCTAGATACAGGTATTCCTCGACTTACAACAGTGTTTGAAGTTACAATGGCACTAAAAAAAGCAACTTATGATTGTTTTCACACTTATGACCGTTGTGGCATTTCCACGCTCACGTGATCAAAGTTCAGATGCTTGGCAACTGGTTCATATTTATTACAGTTATGGTGTCACAGAGTCATGGGATCATCTTTTGTGACCTTCTGACAAGTAAACTCAATAGGGAAGCCAGATTCACTTAACAACTGTGTTGCTAATTTAACAACTGCAGTGATGCATTTAACAACTTACAGAACCGCATACTGCCGCATAGTTCCCAGAGACCGGTGAGGTCCCATAGATTGGGCCTCCTTCAGGTCCCGTCGGCCAGACAATGTCGGCTGGCGGGCCCTCGGGGAAGGGCCTTTTCTGTGATGGCTGTTAAAACTCTCCTGTTCCGGCAGGCCTGGGGCTGATGTCCCCGGGGGGGGGGATATGATTGGACACGCTGTATGATTGTATTATTTTATTGTTTTATTGTTAGATTATTGTTTTAATTTTACACGCCGCCCTGAGTCTCTTGGGATTGGGCGGCATATAAATAAAATTAAATAAATAAATAAATAAATAAATAAACTGTGGCAAGAAAGGTTGTAAAACGGGGCAGAACTCACTTAACAATGTCTCACTTAGCAACAGAAATTTTGGGCTCAATTGCGGTCCTAAATCGAGGACTACCTGTATATTATGAACTGATATTGTAAGTCAGGAAACTGTCATACATTAAAGTCATTTGGTTAATAAGAAAGAAAATTAAAAAGGACGGAAAGCTGCCATTTCATCAATTAAATTCTGACTGAATAATATTGAAGAAAACAGAGTGCTGCATTGTTTCAATTGTATTTTATACATAAATAATTGTATCTAGTGTTTTCCATTTCATTCATAAAAACACCTTTGTTTATTTTCAGCTCTGTGTTATCCATAACCTTAAATGATAATTTTCCTTAAATACATCTGTGTGATCTTAGAATTAATTCTACACTATTTACCCTCAACATCATTTTTACTAAAGTAATCTTTCATAATTTCGCATCCTACAGATACACTAGATATTTTGATATCTTCAGTTGAATTTTGATTTCTCTTGACTGCATGGACAGGTTTATGGAGGTTTTTTTGGTAACATTTTCAGAAGTGGTAAAAGTGACTGGCCCAGTTGATTCCATACCTAAGGCAGGAGTAGAACTCAGACCTCTCCTCTTCTAGTGTAGCATCTTAACCACTAGACCAAAACCCACAATTCCCAGTATCATTGTCAGCCACTGATCGGGAAAGTTATAATCCAGGATATTTGGACATTGTCTTATTGAGAATAAAGTGTTCCATCTTTAGTTATTTAACTAGGTCCACCTTTGCATACTTCATTTATGGTTGTGATTATCTTGTTCTTCAGTGTCTGCTTATTTGTTTGAAGAAGCTTTAAAAATTCACAGATCTTTACGCAAAAATAGTTTAAAATATATTTTAAAATGACCTAAATAATTTTAAGGCAATAGGTGTAGTAAAGTTCCCAAAATTGTCATTTATGATGAATTGGATAATCAAGATATATAAAATGAATGTATGAATGAATGACTTTACTAAAAGCCAGCAGTTCTGAAGGAAGAAAGTATGCTTTTTCATACTGTATATCGAGAATGTTTGTGTTTTTTGTGAACTGTGAAAAATGAGTCTCCATTAACAGTACTTTAGTCTGAAAGGCAAGGCAGCCTCCAATGTCACCTAAAGGCCGTGTTTTCTTGTTTTATAGGAACTCTCATTCAGCTGCACATCAAGGTAGATCTCTTCAGACTTGAGAGCATTATGAGACTCTCATAAGATTTTGCTTATTAGGTTTGCTTATGCTTGTGCCAAGAAAAAAAAATTCCAACATCCTATTAAAAGATTCCATTAACATTGCTTTTTGTTTGACGATGCTGAAGCCTCCTTTATGTCACAAAGGCAGGCTTTTTTTTTTTTCCAGCGCCTTTCACTTTACCCTGCCTGCATGTTTGCTTTTGTGATGTCTCGAAATCTTTTAGTGTCAAGATTTCTTCCAAATAAAGTTGAGAACATGATATTCTGCTCCAGAAATCATGCTGCAAAAAAAGCCTAATAGTTTCTCAGGAGCTCTGGAAAACAAAAAAAAAAAAAAAGCAGAGGTATTCTTGCTTCCTTAGATAGGAGAGCTCTGCGAACTTTGCAAAAGTTGTTTGTTTTTGTTTGCCTTGCTCTTGGGGAAAAACATAGTCATGTAATACCTTCCTTTCCCCCCCCCACCCTCGTTTGTTGTGTGTGCTCAGGAGTTCAGACTCTGAAGAAGCATTTGAAACACCAGAATCCACAACTCCTGTAAAAGCTGCACCTCCACCACCACAACTACTGCCTGAAATTGTAGCATTCGACATAGATGAACAAGAAATAAGACCTCAGCTTCCATCAGAAGACCCAGGTAACAATTTACAGTGAATAGGATGGGCTCCTCTGCACATTCATAGTTTGAGCACCCCAGAATGGATTGCTAATACCAAGAGGCTTCGTATTCCTGAGAAATGTTGGTAGATTGATCAGTAGAACACGTGCTTTGCAGGCCAAGGCTTTTAATAATTAGGAATAAGTCTGATTAAGAACTTGGAAAGTGCCAGTTAACCATCAAGCTTTATTGTAAAGCAACTTTATATATTAGGTTAAAAGTACAGATCATCTCATTACCTCATTCCCGGTGTAAGAGCTTTATTAATTCTTCTAGATGGTTTATGACTAAAAAAATTTTTTTAAAGAAAACAACATATATCAAAGAAAAGGGGACATCAGTGATCAAACAGTTAAGCCTTTCGGGTGGCATTTTTTGCATATTTCACACAGGTAAATGAACAGTGAAGGTGAGAATAATATCCAAGCTGACCTTAGTAATAGCCAGAAATTTTTCCATATTTTTGGACTTTTTTATCTGATGGTGATTCGATGATAGGATTCAATGTTTGAGAACCAGTTTTTGCTTCTCTCACCAATAGTGACTAACCCTTAAAAGCTTTCTAACCTGCCTAGCTGATGTGGTGTATCTCAGGGTAGAAACCTCTACTTGCCTTCTCTACAAAGGGCTGAATGCAGTAACTGGAACCTTTTGAAAAAATGTTGTTTGTAATTGTGTTCTTTGCAGTCAATTCAAATACAACTGAAGCCCATTAAACCATGTTTAGCTTTTGTCCAGACTTCAGTCACTTCTTTACTTATTTATTTTTTGTATTTTTCAGGTTACAGTCCCAGCACACCTGACAAAGGCCAAGAAAGCACTGAGCCTCAAAGTAAGTTGGATAGGAATGATGCAAAGTATTGTCCCATCATCAGTTCCCCAATTTCCCCTAACACCCCCCCCCACATATGTGTCTGTGTTTTGGTTTGTGTACACAGAGCAATGGAAGCTTAAGAGTCAGTTTATGCATCTTTGCGTATGATAAATCTCAGCTTCCGTTAGAATTCAGAGGTTTGGGATTGAGCAAGTTGCAAAAAAACAGTAAATAAATTCACGTCCATGGTTAATCATCTGACACCCTGTAACAGGTAGAATATCTGCTGTTCTGCTTTGAAATCTCATGCAGTGTATGCAAAGTTAATACAATAAAAGGTAATGAATCTATAATTTTGCGGTGAATTCAAAAATTACAGTGGAATGTATTTAAAGTAAAAAAAGTAATAGCAAAAATAATAATTATTACATATCCTTATTCTAAGTCCTCCATTATGGGCACTTCTCAACTCTCTGAATTCTTAGCATTTGCTCTGCAAACTAGGGGATTTTTTTTGCATTGATATTCATATACCTGGAGAACACCTAGGCTGGTGAAGGCTGTCTTCTAAAGTCCAAAGATACCAAGATGTCACTTTCAAAAACGTCTGTACGTAATGTGGCCATAACTTTTGCTGCATATACATTGTTTCAATATCAGTAAATGTTGTTTACCATTTCATATTTTTCTGCAAAAAGTATCTACAGAAGTATCTACAGAAGTCCACGCTGGCTGTGGACTTCTGGGAGTTGAAGTCCATATGCCTTAAAATTGTCAAGGTTGAGAAACACTGATCTACACCATCATTATGCCTCCAGCAGACACAGCTAGTACTCAAGTACATGGAGAAGCCCTTTATTTGGTGCCCAAATGCATGGAGAAACCAGGATTTTGTGCTAGATGTATGAATATCCCTGCTTGGCTTTCACCATTATCTTTCTACATTTATTTTAAATCTTTATAGAACAATTATCTTCTCACATGTATTTTCACATGTAATTGAAAAGGAAATTAATTTTCCAGCTTGATAAAGAAATCTAAGTAGAGAGGGAAGAAAAAAGAATTACATTAAGTAGGATTTGAAGAACAGCCTTTAATTACAAAATTAAATTGCAACTCATTCTGAACTCCCAGTTATTCACCTTTATTCCTGTTTATTTCTCTTCCTTTCTGTTATCCTTTTTCTTTCATTTCTTCTGTGTTTTAAGTAATAAAAAGTACTCCATTCACAGCTGCCCAAAGTGAAAAGAAAGATTATCTTTATATCAGCTTTCCATATCAACTAAGCTCCTTGAGTTTCTGAATAAAAGGCAGGATATAAATCTAATAAACACTTCCTGTTTCTGTATGATTTATATCCACGGTTATTTCCTTAAGTTTTACATGTATTTATATTCCAATCCTAAAAGATGTCTGGTGTGATACTATCCAAAGCCCAGTACTATTCCTAAGGCCAAGCCATGCCAGACTTAATGTAACAGAAAAAAAGTCTCTGTGATTAAATGTCATGAATAGTAAAACTCCCTGGTGGAGGCTGCTTTGAAGTAAAAGGGCAACATTCCTTTCATTTCTTTCTAGTTTTTGGTGTCAAGAGGGCAGGATTAAAAAAACCTCTCTAGACACAAAGCTGCATTGTCTACTATTCAACACTTCCTGGAACGGTTTTTCCACTTGATTGTTCTGTTTTCATTAATACATTGAACAGGGTTCTTAGGGTAGCTTGTGTGTGTGCTTTTGAAGTTAGAGTATAAAAACGGGGAGAAAAGAAATCAGTACTGGGAATTATTCTACGTCATTTATTCTAGTAAATTAACTGCAGAATCAGGTATTTGAATACTTCTAAAACTGATAATGTGGTGAGTTCATTAGAAAAATAGTGTGTTGAAACAAACAAATTATAAGAACTTAATATAAAAGACCAGAACATTTGAGTCTGGAAGTTAGATGAACTGCTACCCAATGTTAATACTGTATCTGGTTTATGGCACAATATGTTTTACTTTATTGGTTTTATTTTTAATCAATCATATTTTATTTTGGTTTTTACCTTGATGAGAGATATTTAGACCTTGAGAGTTACCCAGAATAGTATGCTGAGTGGGCATTCAAATACATTGATAAAATAAGTAAATAAATAAAATACAAGGAAATCTGAATTTGCCAAAAGGACTCTCAAAAGAGGATGTATATGTGTTAGGCATGTGAGTCAGACAAACAGCTGCTAACTCAAATATACAGTATATAGTCCAGTATAGTGGCATAAAACCAACAATGCCAAATTATCATACTAGCTTATTACTTTGAAGAAACTTGGTGATACTACTTTGGAAAAGTAATATACTATGGAATATACTTTGGAAAAGTAGTATCTGGTGAAAATAAAGTCATCTTCAGTTCTTGGTGATTACATGTTTTTGTCACTGCCTTCCTTTAGGATGTTTTTTCAATAGCTCTGTTTAGTCAATAGCTCTGAGATCTTCTGGTGGTCTCTTATCCAAGCACCAATCAGATCTCAGCCTGCTGTGGGTTTGGGTTTTTTTGGGAGATCAGCAAAGGTCAGCTGGATATTGCCACCTTCTTGGTGCATCCTATCTTTTCTGATCTTGAGAGAAAAGTCAGTATATGAGAAATAACTGGAGAATTCCCTAACAACAAAGGGCATTTAGTAAAGTCACAGAGCTCACACTATCAAAAAAAAAAGATTAAATAATGAAAAGAAAGCATGGAGGGCTTGAATGATCTACCGCCAGTTTGTAACTTAGATGCAATTTGCTTTTAAACAAAGTCCCTGTATAAAAAAAATAAAACGTTGACACTCTAACATTGTTTTTTACAAAGAAAATTGGGATCCATAAAATTAGATACATCATTTATCTTAATGTTCTATGCAAGATAAATCATTGGCCTAGTATCAGGCTGGAAAATGTTGATGTAAAGGGAAAGTCTAGCTAATAATGACACCACATGGAGTGAAAAGAAAGCTGGATGGATAATGTTACATGAGATAAAATATGAGTAAAATAAAGCAAATGCCAAATCAGAATTTGAAATGGCATTGTTAACATAAGGAGAAGAGATTAGTATTATTCAAGAAGAATTCATTTTAGCTCTGGAATTTGTTTTATAGGAATTACAAACTATGTGAAAATTGGAAATAGTATATTAAATAAATCCAAACTCTATCAAGACCCAAATAATTGCATGTAAATGATAGCATATTATCATAGTTTTGTCCAATACACCAAGTTCTATTGTCTTATCAGTATGGCAACATTAGGTAAGATAATCATAACGTTAAGCCAATTAATCTCAATGGAAAATACTGCCAAGTAGAAGATTGCAGCCAAAGATTGTGATCTGATCAGTGTGCAAAAGTGAGCTCTTTACATGAAAGTCAGACAATAAAAATAAATCCATACCCAGAGAGCATGTAGGTTGTCAAAAGGCCATGCTTTTTGATGTTTTTCCTTTTTGGAGATATAGGAATGGTTTTTCGTTTTTGGAGGTATAGAGATCTGTCTGACATTATGAATCTTGAAACAGGTTCTCAGGATAGTTTTTGGAAGTTTTTAAGAAGAGACTGGACAGCCATTTGCCCAAAATGGTATAGGGTTACCTGCCTGAGCAGGGGATTGGACTTGATGACCTCCAAGGTCCCTTCCAACTTTATTATTGTTATTGTTGTTGTTGTTGTTGTTGTTGTTGTTATATTAACATTTTATTCATTGTAATTTTGAAATCATTTCTATAATAGGATGACTTAATGAATGATAAAGTCTGGGCATGCATGCAGAGGAAAGTCTGTTTCTGCCCCCCTGGCCCAAATTTTGGATTCTCCCTTGCACTTTTGTTCTGTCATTGGGATAAATATTCAATGGATAATTTTATAAATATGGTTAACATGCTGAAAACCAGAGATTTGTAAATGTAATTTTCCCTCTGCAAAATATGGGTATATCTTTTGGGGGCCCTGTGCTTAGATGCTTGCATGACAGTAAGGGAACCCCTCACATTCAGAAAAACATTTAATATATTGTGAATGTGCCTCCCATTTACCATGAATGCAATGAAGCAGTTTTAGATATTGTAGCAGTTAGCTACATAAAGCTCAGTGTTTTCTTTCTTTTTTTAAATAGCATGTAAAAGGCTTATGATTAAATCACCAAATTTTGCAATCATTTTTCATCAAAACAAAGTAGGCTTAATGTTAAAACTGTAGCTCTAGCTCAAATAATTGTCTACTGGAATAATGAAATAAATTGTGAATATGCTTTTGGCTTTGTTCTTGAGAGACACTTTATGGGATCACATGACTAGTACAATAATTACCAGGGGAAAATGACAACTCATCTATTGAAAACATCAATACTGACAGCCTGTAGTAATGCTGTAAATTATTTGCACTTTGATTCTTTACTATTGGTGCCTTATTTTTTTCAGTTGGAAGTATAATAAGAATGTAATTGCTTAGCCCAAGTGTGGTATATTAATTTAAATTTAAATTAATCAATTTGGTATTCTGGTAGGGAAGTCACGTTCAAATGAAATCATCATTTCCACTCAATAACCCTATTTAGTATCTTAGAATTTAGAATGGTCAGATTTATTTTAAGGGGTGGCATAATAAAATTGCAGTTACTGCACTATGGTAGTAAATGTGTTTATAATTTTTGAGATGGACCATGACTGCCAGTTTCTACAAGAAGTAAATTATTTTAACCCAGTAGCTACCTTGGAAAGTTAAAAAAAGAAACTACAAAGTCCATCCTTTTCATGCATGTGACATCACAACATATGTAGAAAAGGAGAAGGCTTTGCATTGTAATGCTACAACATAGCTTTCACCATTTTGCAAGAAGATATCAGATAAATCTCAATCACTCTCTGAAAGCTTGTCTCTGCATTTTCAGCCAAAATCTGCTAACAGAGTATTAGGGCTTAATAGGATGAAAGACAATGCTACAGACTGTGTGTCTATAAGTGAAAATGATTGCTTGTTCCTTTCTTGAGTTCTTAGCAGGCTTCTCCTGCCTCATATAAAAATCTTATAGTAGTTTAAAGTTCAGATAAGGCCAAATATATGCAGCTTCTTTCATATTAGCAACACATTTCCTGTATGGTAATTCAATTTGCTCTCAATACTGATTTTCACTCTATAGAGATTTCTTGATAGCATTCTATTGACTTGCACAATTATAAAATATTTTTCTGATCTACAATTGTAATAAAATATTTTGTTTGTATTATGAAATATAATTATCCATGTTATATATTTAAAGTAAATGATCCAAAATAAAATCTATTCGAAATTACTTTTGGAAAAACAAAAAATAATTCACTTCTTGCTTATTTTTTGTTTATCCTGTGGGTTTTCTGATTTGAACGCTTATCTTGAAAAAGATGAAAAAAAGAGAGGAGGATGAGAAAAAGAAATATTTAGGATTAAAGGAACTGATCATTTTAAAAGGAAAGCATCCTTAATTATTGGATGCATAAGCTACTTTCCTTTCTCTAGTTATTCTAGATTCGACATTCCTAAATGCTGATAACTTTTGCTTTTGTTTTTTATAGGTTTTTCTTCTGAAACAGTAACAGTAGCTGATGTCCCTCATTGTGAACCAGTTGAAGAAACTCCATTGCCCCCTCTATCCCACTCACTTTCTACAGTTTTTGATGAGGACAAGCCAATTGCTAGCAGTGGAACTTACAACCTAGACTTTGATAGCATTGAAGTTGTAGATTCCTTACAAGCTGTGGGTCCAAGCTCCCTGGACATAAAGAGTCAAGATTCCAAGTCACATGTTAGAAGAAAATCCACAGATTCTGTTCCAGTCTCTAGATCTACATTATCTCGTTCCCTCAGTTTGCAAGCTGGAGAATTTGATGGAGCCTCTTTTCCTGGGAACAACGAGACAGCAGGTTCTGCAACAGATACTTTTAGTACCGGTTCAAGCAGTGCTTCTAGTACTCTTAAGCGCACAAAAAAATCTAGGCCAGCTTCCTTAAAGAAAAAACAGTTAGCAAAAAAATCCTTGGATGTTTCTCCAGTAAAAGAACCAGGGATATCAGATTTCAAGCAAGATTCTGCGGCCTCAAGTGACGAAAAAGTTTCTGAAGAGACTTTGGAGCCCATTGAACCTGAATGTACCAACCAACAGCACCAAAGTACTGTTAATAAAGACGAGGCCATTCCTGAACTAGAGTCATTGAGTCTGTTTGATCCAAATAACTTGGAAGATATCCCTGTATCAGGAGATAGCAAAATACAGAACTCTCCACTTGCCAACAAGAAAACTGTATCTCTTACCACAACACCAGAAGCTGTGGAGGTGATACCATCAGACACTGGGGGACAAGAAGATCCTCCAGTGAAAGGCTTAGCAGTGAGATTGGAATTTGATTATTCTGAGGAAAAAGGCAGTGGTGAGGAACAGACGGAGAGTCCTCTTCTGCCCAAAAAAGTGGGCAAAAAACCTGGGGCCAAAATGCCCCTCAGGAGGCCAAAGACTAAAAAGACTGGAGAGAAACTTGACAATACTCCCACAAGCCCAACCAAGATTCCTTCAGAACCCAATGAGATTCCTGTCTCCAAGGGCTCTTATACTTTTGATATTGACAAATGGGATGACCCCAACTTCAATCCTTTCTCTCCCACTTGCAAAATGCAAGAGTCTCCAAAACTTCCTCAGCAAACCACCACAACGTACAGTTTTGATCCAGACATCTCTGAGGATTCTCTTGATCCGTTCAAATCTTCCACAAAAGTTTCCAGCTCTCCCACACAATCTCCAGCATCCTTTGAGATCTCCGCTAACGTCAATGAAATTAATGGATCAGAAGGAGATGGCCTAAATAAACCTGCAAAAAAGAAGAAGACGCCACTCAAGACGTAAGTCAACACATAGAAAAGTATGTGTGCAGTACTCTAAAACATTTCTCTGACAAATCTTTGCAACCTCTCTTAAGTTTTTGTGTTGGCACTATATTTGTTATATATATTTGCTGTAGTACATACTACCCAACTGAATTTTAATGCTAGAATAATCATATTATTCTAGCTGGAATTAAGGTCTTTTCCTTTTTGGCTCTGAGGTGCACTAGGAGCTCAAACCTTTTTTAATTCTCAACATTTGGAAAGTAAGCTTTAATTTTGCTGAATGTATGATGTGCCTTTTGCTTCAGAGTTTAAGAATCTTGCTGATCACTAGGATGAGAGATTTAAAACATTTGGCAAAAGTTTTTTCTGTTACAAGAATTGAGGAGCAATCTGGCCCTCATTTTAAACAGAATGTATTTTGGAAAATGTAGGGTTTCTTAACGGCATTCCATCATGACATGAAAAAGTCTTCAGGGTTGTTGTTTTTTTTAACATAAAATGTAAATATACTCTATAATACAACTGATTAGTTTAATTCAGTCAAATAATAACAAACTCTGGTCGGGATTAAGAGACTACTCTGCAAAGTGTTTATTATAAGGTTATAGTTTATACAGAGTTCAAAATGACAGAAGCTATTCACATGCTTAAAAGATAGTCTTTAGAGTATTTTATAGTGGCTAGTTTACCAACAAGCCACAAATGCTACTGAAGTGAGTTTCATTTCTTTCTGTGTATGTGAGGGAAAGAGTTGGGCAACTAAATAAATCTTTTTAATAAATAAATGTAAAATAAATATTTTTATTTTCTTAAAATAGGGACTGGATCTGGGGAAGGGCTTAGAGGATAGCTGCCAATAGGTTTCCTTTCAACTGTACAGCTATGTTGATTTATTAATGAGCTGTAAAGCCATATTTTGTCTTTTTACCATTAGAATTGGTTGTGAGAATGGGGAGTTAGATATTGTATTGCTTGTTATGAATTTCAGCCACAGTTAACCCTGCATTTCTTGTATGTGGTAATTCACCAATAAGCAAATACTTCCAGTAGATAAAATTAATAATTTCCAATTGCTGAGTATTCTTGAAAACTATATTGCTTAACTTTTCCACAAAAGATCAGTTTGGTTTTCTGTTTATTTAAAGGCTAATCTATACAGATAGTCCTTGGCCTGTGACCACAATTGAGCCCAAAATTTGTGTTGCTAAATGAGACAGTGGTTGTGAGTTTTGCCCCATTTTAAGACCTTTCTTGCCACAATTGTTAAGTAAATCGCTGCAGTTGTTAAGTTAGTAACACGGTTGTTAAGTGAGTTTGGCTTCCCATTGACTTCGCTTGTTAGAAGGTCACAAAAGGTGATCACATGACCCTGGGACACTGCAGTCATCATAAATATGAATCAGTTGCCAAGCATCTCAATTTTGGTCACATGACCTTGGGAATAGTGCAACAGTTGTAAGTGTGAAAAATGGTCATGTCGCTTTTGCAGTGCCGTTGTAACTTCAAACAGCCACTAAACGAACTGTTGTAAGTTCAGGATTACCTATATTGAACTAGATATTTATGCCCATAGTTTGGGGTAACATGGGGGTGATACTTTATTTGTTGCTAATTAATCTAATAAGGTGTAAGTCACCTCTAACAGAGAGCCAGTTTGGTGTAGTGTTTAAGGAAACAGGCTACAAACCAGGAAGCCATTTGAGTTCTAGTCCTGCATTAGGTACAAAGCCAGCTGGGTGAGCCTGGGCCAGTTACTCTCAGGTCTAGGAAGCTGGCAATGGCAAACCTGTTCTAAAATCTTGCCAAAAAACCAGAAGGAAATTGTTCAGGCAGTTGAGCCAACACAGATTTGAAGTTGTGAATGTACACACCTTTGTGTATTCTGTGATGTTTTCAAAATGTCATACTGATTTCCTTAAGCATAACTTTCCAAAACACAAATGCGTATAGTTTTTACTTGAAAATATTGTTACTGTGTAGAGCTTTAGATTGTTTCTAAAAAATATACATTGTAAATGTTTATTTGGACTGATTCTGATTAATGTAAAGTAGTATTAGTAGATACTAACCATGAGCAGTATTTGGTTGTAACTTAGCACACATTCACAGCTGAAACATAAACTCTGAAGTAAATAAAACATACTCTGATATACTCATGTCACCTACATTCAAGAGTATAATGGCGTAGTAGTTAGAATGCAATATTGCAAGGCTAACTCTGCCCACTGCTGGGAGTTCGATCCTGACCAGCTCAAGGTTGACTCAGCTGTCCACCCTTCTGAGATCAGTAAAATGAGGACCCAGATTGTCGGGGACAATATGCTGACTCTTGTAAACCACTTAGAGAGTGCTGTAAAGCACTATGAAGCAGTATATAAATCTTAAGTGCTACTGCTATTGCTATACTTAATAAAAAAATATTAGTTTTACTTCCAGCTAAAATAAATGAGAATTTTAAACAAATAACCAGATACATTGGATATCTGGAAATAAATATAAACCCAACTTTCAAATTATGGGTTAACAGTGAAACAATAAAACAGGATTATCAAATTGGACATACCTAGTGTTATTTTTATTTCCTTATTAATTTCTGATTATAGTGGTGTTTTGAAATGATTTTGTAGTATTCTGTTTACAGTTAGCTGCAAAGTATTTTAAATTCATGCAACAAATTAGCCATGAAATAATAGGCAATTAATTTTTATACTGTAGAATGAAATGTGATTATAAATCCCTGAATAACATCAGTGAGGCCTCAAATAGGATTCAGCACTGAAGCATTTAAAAATATTTTTATGTTGTTAAAAAATAAAATATAAAATCAAAACAATTAACTTATGTTTTACTTGGTTAGACTCATAAACAGGAAACAAAACTGCTCCCACCTATTCTTTTTGAATATCCAGTTTAATCCAATATGCTGGATTTGTCACTAGATTCTGCAAGAAAAACTTGAAGCTATGTTGTCTGAAATATTTAACATTTATTCATTTATAAATATGAAATAACATTTAAAATAATTTAAATCCCATATAAAACTAACCCAGAATTTCCTTGAGCAGAAAAAAATTCCTTAGTTGTTGGTATTAAGACTCCATTTATTTTGGGGGTATATAAAATTGATCTTGTTGAAATGAAGAATGTAAAAATTCACTGTAAGTTTTTAAAAATTTGAGGCATGCTTCCTAAGGCAGGGGAAAGTTCTCCTTCTCTTGTTTATGTATTTCATTAATATATATTTCCCCATTTTCCATCACCACTCCAAGACAATGAAGACGGATTCCTGTTTAGTTACATCAAGGATGTGACCTCATCTACCTTAGTTCACTATTTTCAAACTTAGGAACTTCAAGATGCATAGACTTTGATTCCCATAATTCCCCAAGCAACATGATCTCTCTGGCAGGAGCAAAATCAGGAATATCTATCTTGGCTTCCTTGGCCTCTCAGTAGCTTTTCAGTTCCATTGATTGTAGTATTCTTCTGGACCAGCTTATGGGTTGGGGAAGAAGGATATGATGCTATAAGGCAGGGATACCCAACCCCCAGTCTGTGGACCAGTACTGGGCCACGGCATGCCAGCAATGGTCCACACAAACAAGCAAAGCCCCATCCGCGGGATGCAGGCAGCACACAAAATCATACACTCTCCTGTCCACAAAAAAACCTGTCTCCGTGGAACTGCTCCCTGGTGCCCAAAAGGTTGGGGACCTCTGCTATAGTGGCTCTTCTTTCTCCAGTTCCCGGCAATGTTGACAGGAAGAGGGAGATATGGCCTGCCAAAGAAGTGTCTCAATCCTCTCCCCAAGTCTTGTTTAACTTATACATAAAACCTTTGGGTAAGGTTATATATTAGACTATGGGAAAAGAACAGGCTTGAACTCAATCTTAGTAAGGCTGAGTGGTTTTAGGTTGAAGATCCCTCCCCTGGGATCTGTGGCTCCTTCTGGACTGATGATTTCTCTTCAAACAGTAGGTGGTAGTTGCGACTAGGAGAACCTATGCATAATTTCACTGTATGTCCCTATTGTACCCTTTCCTGTATTTCCTTAGTCCAGAGTTCCTGAAAGCAAAGAGAGTGTTGAGCTTGGAATCTTTGATATGCAGGAAGAAATGGAAGGCGGACTCCTACCCATCCACCCACCCCCCAGCAATTCACAGAGTATATTTAATAGTTATGCTGGTAGTTTCTTTAGTCGGTCAAGATTTTTGCCTATAGGCAAATACAGCAAGAAACTACAGATAGTCCTCAACCACAGTAGAGCCCTCCCAATTTTTGTTGCTAGGCGATACATTTGTAAAGTGAATTTTGCCCCATTTTACGATCTTTTCTGCCACATTTGTTCAGTGAATTAAATCAGTACAGTTGTTAAATTAGTGACACGATTGTTAAGTGGCTTCTTCATTGACTTTGCTTGTCAGAAGCTCACAAAAGGTGATCACATGACCTTGGGACACCGCAATCGTCATAAATATGAGTCAGTTCATAACTGTCTGAATGTTGATCACGTGACCATGGGGATGCTGTAATAGTTGTAAGTGTGAAAAACAATCATAACTCACTTTGAATGGTCACTAAACAGTTTTAAGTTGAAGACTATCTGTACTCAGAAGTAACTCCACATGTTGCTCTTGACTCATGAACACTCTCCTCCCTGAGATTTGTTTTGCCCAGAGCCTTCTAGAATTTTGTAAAGGGTGGTTCAGTTGCCTATCAATGTGATTTTGTGTTTTATGTGGTCTGAGTTAATTATTTTTGGTACCATTATGTTATTATTTTTAAGCATCTTATATTTTTGTGTGTCGGCCTTTTAATCCTATTTTTGCCACTCATAATTGTGAGATGGGTGGCTATATAAACTATTATAATAAACTAATGAACATTTCTGTCCAATATTTAGAGACATGTCCGTTTTTTTTAAAACAACAAAAACATGGGGGGGAGGGGATTTTTTTTCCTGCAACGTAATAAATGGAATTTCTCTTTTGTGTCAGTGAGTTCCTTCTGTCTTGTCTCTCTCTCTCTTTTGTCTTACTTGTCTTAGGATGGTTGAAGATGTGATGTCTGTATGTTCTTTGTTGTAAGTAACTTTTAACCCTAAGCATACCTGTTATCAGCAGAAATGCCTCATGATTTTTTTTTCTGTCTACATGGTTTATGTATTGTTTTGTCTGGTTTCAGTTTGTTTAGTTGATTATTTTTACAAGGTTGTTTGTGGTGATATCCAGCAATGTAGGTCATGATGCCTATATTCAATAAGATTATTTGGACTTGTATCAACATTTTTTTGAGTGGGAAAGAAAAGGCTGATCAGTACATAAAGTTGACCAAAACTATTTCTTGATCAATCTATCATCCGTCTCTCTGTCTGTCTGTCTGTCTATGTCTGTCTAATATTCTCCGGGTGAAGTATATGTTACTTGGAATGCCAACTTGCTTGGCAGATTATACCTTTGCAATTAAGCCTTCAGGAGGTATTTTCCATTCTCACTTTCCATATCGTTCTCCATGCCTGCTTGAGTGGCGTGCATGCATCCTCCAGTCTGGTTCCCAGGAGATGAAGCATGAAGCCATAACAGCCCATTTCTCTTCTGGTTATACAGTTAACATGAGTTTGGGAATTTTTCACAGTATTATAGACAAAAACAACTATTTTCCCTCGATATACACTTATAACTGCAATGTAGCCATATTGTAATTTATTTTCTAAATAAGAAACGGCTAGCCATCAGGTTTCTCAATGTTTTTCAACAATTGGTTAAAATACAGGTAGTCTTTGATTGCTTGATTGCTTAGTGAACAATCACATTTTTGACAACATCTATTTGGAGAGTACTTATGACCTGAAGTTCTATGGTCAGGCTCCCCTGCAGCTTTGTGACTGCACTACGTACTCAGTAGCTGGACCACACTTATGGTCATTAGCAACATCCCATGGTCATGTGACTGCATTTTACAACACTTTGGCTGAAAACTGGTATTTACTTGCAGTTTTCAGCAATACTGTGCCCTTCGTGAACTAATGGTTTACTTAACAGCCAAGGTTTTGCTTAACCGTTGTAGATTCATTCAATAACTCTGGTGATTTTCTTAACGACCATTGCAAAAAAGGGTTATAGAATTGGATTGGGCATGTGACCAATTTGTTTTATGACTATCATGAGTTATGACCATGATAGATGGGCTCCATTTTGGATGTAATTCAAGGACTACCTGTATTGATATAATTTATATAAGTCAACTCATTTTTGCTTTAGCTCCTTTATTTGTTTTTTGCCATTTCAGAAATTAGTTGAGACATAGCTATTATATTTGAAAATCTTACTCTCAGGCAATTGCTTCCCACCAACATATAATATACCATAACTTTTAATTAAGTTTATTTCACTCTCTTTGTTTCTGTTTCTGTAAGATCTCTCCACAATATATAGTTCTTTTTACACCTGCAGTTTGAATCTGTTTTAGAAGTCCCCAAGCAGTCTGGAAGGATAGTCATTTTGGAAATATTGAGAGCATATGATGGCACAGTCACATAATGGCTGCCATGAGAAAGTTGTTTATTCACAAAATGGCTACCCAAAATGAACGTTGCCGAAGATGCTCAGGATATTTCTTGCTACCTTTAATTGATTTTTGTTCTTTCTTTGAAACCTTGAGCTTATTTTCCAAGCAAACAACACATTATGGCAATCTATCATTTTTATTTTTTAAAACAATCTAATCTGGAGTCATACTTGGAAATACAGTTTTAAAGGCTTGGGTATTCTTTCAACATGCCAGTTTCCTCTGTAATTTTTAAAATTATGATCATTGCTATCATCAGTGCCATCATAATTTTTTCAAAAAGTTGAGTTAGGGAAATGAGATCGGCAAGAAATCAATTAATTATCTATTGACACATTAGTGCCTATAGAATCATACTTTATTTGTTATATCCTATTCAAATATTTTAAGGCTTTTGGAATATAAATATTTATAGTGTAACCTGCAGAAAACAAAAAGGATAAGTATACCAGCAAATCATACATGCTTACTACAAGATTTAATAAATTCTCAAGCAATATTGCTAGCTGTAAAATGCAATCCTACAGGTTGCAATAGTTAGAAGATAAGATCAAGACTTGAACCCTTGTTCCATATCTGCCTTGCTTAAATTGTGTGGTCTTGTTCACCAGTATTTTGCATGTCATTTGTTTGGCAATTGAAGTAGGATACCTGAGATGATAGTTTGATAGATAAAACTGAAGACATTTTCACAACACTTACATAGCACTGATATCCTGGTAGCTCTCAGGGCAAGAACATATCCTGATCAAGATTCCTATTTACTGAATTATGTTATGTTGGCCATTTTCCAGTAGCACTGTAACCATTTTGTTGTTTTCAACGATAAAATACTTCATTGTTTGGAGTGATTTTTTAAACCTTAGTACAAAACTCAGATTAATTTAATTCTTGTAATTCTTGCAAAACTTATGTTTGATTTTTTTAAATTTGGCAGTAACTGAGTCTAAGAGTGCATGATGAGCAAAGGACATGGCATGCTCTTCTTTGGTTTTTTTATGCGAAGTTTCTGAAATAGGCAGTCTTCATCATAATATATTCATTAGCTGTTTCTTGTTATGTCATTTTTCTTGGCCTGGCCATACTCAAGTGTTTCCATTTTCTTTCCAGTGACACATTTAGAGTGAAAAAGTCACCAAAAAGATCTCCACTGTCTGATGCACCTCCGCAGGTAAGAGGCTTTAAGAAGTACTTTTTTAAGTACTTCTTTTTTTTAAGGTACATTCAATTGTACCTTAATTAATTGTACCTTAATTATATATTTTCTCAAATCTTGCAAAAAAAAAAGGAGGCAGCTCAGATGACTAGATTGGAAATCATCTTCCCACAGTTAATATTATAGAGCCAGCACACTAAGGAGAAAATAATTAATCACGACAGAAAAGGAAGTATCAAATGGACAAGCATCAAGTTAATGTTAAATCACATTCAATTAATGTTTAGGAAGAATTGAAAATTAGCCTTTTTTTGACAAATGTGGAAATTGTTCAAGCCTTCATTGAAATTTGAAACTGATCTTATTTCTTTTTTTGTTGACCACACAATTAATTGTGGCTGCATGTGATGCAATCTATACTACCATGAGAGGTGATAATTTTTGGTGCTATAGTAATATTTATCTAGAATGATGGGTGAATTCCAAGGCTCGGTCTCATTCTGGGGTTCTTATAAACCAGGGGTAGGCAACCTTGGCTCTTTTATGATTCGTGGACTTCAACTCCCAGAATTCCTGAGCCAGCCATGCTGAGGGGAAAGGGAGAGGTTTCCAAACTGAGCCATGCTGGCTCAAGAATTCTGGGAGTTGAAGTCCACGAGTCATAAAAGAGCCAAGGTTGCCTACCCCTGTTATAAGCCAATATGTATTTGTTAAAATTTTGCAATAAAATCTTTGTGCAAATAAACTAATCATTAGGGTACCAGAACTAATAAATTAGATCTATACTAATTATGCCGGTAATTTTCAGATCTCTGAAATAGATCAAATGTCATCCTTCTACAACTTTAAAATAAAGATCTCAAAATCTTATTTTGAATTAGAATAACTTGCATAGCATGAAAAAGACTTCCAAAACCCAAGTAGAAGAATAAAGTGGTTCTTTCTCCTGCAACTACAACCATTTACATTTAGTCAAACTATTAAGAAGAAAGCAAAAGAGAGCTGGATCCATGGAAGAAGACTATTGCTTCTTTTTTTGTAGCATAATAGTTTTTTAACCTTTATTTTCTTCTTAGGAATCTATGGCACTGCCTTCTACTGAAACACCTTCTGTTGTATCCACTGTGGTTCATGCAACAGATGAAGAAAAACTGGCATCATCTGTGGGTAATCAGAAATGGACTTGTATGACAGTGGATCTTGATTCTGATAAGCAGGATTATCCTCAGCCATCAGATCTGTCAACATTTGTAAATGAAACGAAGTTCAGCTCTCCTACAGAAGGTAAACTGGGAAAAGAAGATAGAAATGTTGGCTTATTTATTTGAGGAAGGAAATGTTGGCCCAGAATAACGAGAAACAAAGGATATCACTGCTATCAGTAGTATACTGTACTTACTAGTCCACTTAGACATTCTAATATATTTAGCTTTATCTTGATTATATTAAAAATATTGTTTTGTGCCAAGATTCCTTAAAAACGGTCCAAATATTTTGTGAAATCAGTAGTTAATTCTGATTGCCAAAAGTGGAGATAGTACTACATCTTACATTTCTATACACTATTATATCCTTGTGGAGTGCCCACATTCAAATTCTACTTTTGATCTTATTGCTACATTAAATGGCCCTGCTGTTGATAAAACCCTGGTAAGTGCCATTTGTCAGAAACAATTAAAGAACTGTTCCAGCAAGAAAGAAAGGAAAAGCAACCTGCCCTCATGTACAGTAAGGATCGGTTTGCTTTATTTACGGGATGGGCAAGGTAGCTAAACATGTAATATTCCATCTTCATAACTGAACTGCATGATTTATATTGAATATGTAGAGCTTATTTCTTAACCTGGGATGAAATTTTGTCTGTGTCAATGCTGCAAATACTGTATATTCTTGCTTTGACAATATGCAAAACTGTCTGGTAATTACTGGGTTAATGCACAGCTTAGAGTGGGGGGGAGAAAAAGCCGGGAAAGAAAGAGGAAGTAAACTTTTGACCTTCACACTAATTGGATAATGTGACTTGTGACTGCAAGACAAAGGAGGGGTTTAACAAGAAAAGGTTGATGCCAGCGACAGGAAGTCAGATTCTGGCATCAACACGTCCATCATGGTGACTGGCAAAATTGTAGCTCTGAAATAAAACTTTAGGAAACATGCCTGAAAGTTCTTTGAAGTGCTTCATTAGTCGGAACCTGTGACAGTCTGATGTTGTCCCAACTCATCACAAAGATCAGGTTGGAAAAGGGTGGTATTCAGAAGGTTGGAAATATCTTTTACCTTTGGGTTACCACCCACTCAGTATATTCATTGTAATGGGCATGTAATCAAGAGAGGCTTTAGCTAAGCATGAACAGAGGTACTTCTCAATATTTATTGATTTAGTGATACTTTTATTGTAATTATTATAATAAATAAATCAACTCAGAACTTTTATCTTTCACCGCATCTCATTGTCAACAAATGCTGTCTTCATGCAGCATTGTGCATTTAACTAGCAAGGATGCTAATTTGATTTATTTATCAAATCATCCACTCATCTAGACTCCGGGCAGTTTACAATGAAACATCAACATAAACATGTTTTCTGAGAAGATGTCAGAAAGGCCTATTAAGAGTTTCCCCTTTTTCTGAAAAGAAAAGGATTTGGATTAGATCAGTGTTTCCCAAACTTGACAATTTTAAGGCATGAGGACTTCAACTCCCAGAATTCCACAGCCAGCAACGCTGGCTGTGGAATTCTGGGAGTTGAAGTCCACATGCCTTAAAATTGTCAAGTTTGGGAAACACTGGATTAGATTATGGGCCTTCTCTCTGTAGCCCCCATACTTTTGAACTCCTCACCTTCAGAGATCCATAGAGCTTCCTTCTTTATGATTTTTAAAATACATTTAATTTTATTTCACCAAGCCCTCAACCTAGCTTTGTTTTACTAGTATCCATTTTAGACTATTTATTATTATTGATGTATTTCTAGTATTGTTTTTACAGTTTGAATATATTGTTCCATTGATAATTTTAATTTATCGACCCAGAGTATTTTGAGTTTAGCAGGCTATAGAAGCTAGTATAAGTAAAAAGAAATCAAAGTAATTTGAAATCATAACTCTCCTCCCTACCATTAAAAGAACATTGAAATAATTCATACTAATAATTCAATCCCTGGTGGAAAAGAAGTGTCTTCAATATTTTTTTTAGGAATGCCAAAAGCAAGGTAGGTCAGTGGTTCTCAACCTGTGGGTCGGGACCCCATTTGGGGTCAAACGACCATTTCACGGGGGTCGCCAAACAAGGCTGTCCACCATTTTTCCCCCTTTTCTTTGGCCACGCCCCTGGCACTCGGTGATGTATAAGTGGTTGGGGGTCACCACAACATAGGGAACTGTATTATGGGGTCGCAGCATTAGAAAGGTTGAGAACCACTGTACTAGGCACACTCAGTCTATTCCATAATGTGATGGTCGCTACTAAGAAGGCACACGTTCTCTTTACTATCAGATAAGGAAGGACCATAAATATGAAAATTGATATAATACTGTATAGACAGTAAGCATTTTGTGACCAAACCTGAGCATATATTTGCATTTTCTCTTGAGATGAACATTTCTGCCAGTTTTGATTTCTTATGTAACTTAAAATGTTTCCTTAAGTCTAATGATTCTATTTGCTCTTACTTCATACAGTCCCCGCAAGAACTCATTGACTTTAGGGTACATCTAGGAGAAAAAGTGCCAAGTAGTAGTAAAAAACAATTTAAAATATTCATGTGAAACAGCATTGAACTTCCTAATAGAACATTAATTTTAACAATCACTTAACCTACAAGAACCAACTATCTTGAGAAAAAAAATCATTTTTGACTAATATCATAATAAGATGTTGAGGATTAAATATTCTTTAACTAGTACCTTCACAAAAATCCAATCTAAAATCATTTTAGATTTTAGACTGGATTTTTGTGAAGGTACTAGTTAAAGAATAATTACCTAATATTTAAAGGAAATGGTATCCTTTCTTGAAGGAACCATCCTATTAGAATTGTTGTAATTTCTATCTGGGACCAACACATTATGGTTCAATACCTACTCCTCTCTGAGTCACAGTGTGACCTTAATCCAGTCATCTTCATATAGATCAGTGGTTCTCAACCTTTTTAATGCTGCAACCCCCAACCGGTCATAAGTCGAGGACTACTCAACTGGTCATAAGTCGAGGACTACTCAACCGGTCGTAAGTCGAGGACTACTCAACTGGTGTAGCACTGTTTGCAGAATGGGACTTTTGGCAGGCTCAGCAGGGCAGAGACAGCCTGGACAATTCCTATTGGCTTTTGAAAGCCAATAGAATAAAAGGGAGTAGCACAGCTAAGGAAAAGGGGGAAAAAATGGCGGACTGCGTTGTTTAGCGACCCCCGTGAAATGGTCATTCGACCCCAAATGGGGTCCCGACACACAGGTTGAGAACCACTGATATAGATATACCTGTCATAGCAGCTTATTGTAAGAATAACATTGCAATAAGAAAAAAAGAATATTTATTCTATCTTGAACTTCCTGAAAACAGGCTGGAATAAAAATAAAATAAGAGTGTGGTAGTTATGGAACATAAGTAAAATTTTTAAGCAAGATTTTCGGTCAAAGGTACCTTATTATATTGGTAACATAGGATTTAAGGTCAATGCAGGCTGGCATTTAACCTCAGTATAAATACTGATTTGTCTACTGGATTATGTGTGGCTCAGATTGCCTATTAATTAGGATAGTGTTTCCTCTGTGGAGGTTTTTTAAACATAATCATACTTCCCCTTGGAATCTCCTATGGGCTTCATTTGGAGGCTTCAAAGTAATTAAAGGGATCTGAGAATTTGCACTACTTTTTCCTGTTAGCTGAATATTGAGATAAGAATGCCAATTAGCAAAGGGAGAACCTTCAGGTGGCTGTGTTGTAATTAAATAGTGAAACTAACACCCAAATACCTCACTAGTCCTGTTGTATTTATACTTTTGTTAATTCATTAGAATTCTTTCTTGCTTTCCTCCTCAATATAATTAAGCATTTCAGTTATGAAATATATATATAATTTTGTTCTGAATTGCTAGCTTGCATAATATTTGGGAATATCAAGGGTTAAATGCTTATCAGCCCTAGTTTCTAAAACTCAACTGTATTTATGGTAAAAATTTCAGAATATATTTAAAGAATACCAAGTAATATAAGCTCCATGTGCCTGTGGTCAACTTTTCCCATCTTGAAGCTGTGCAGGTATTCTGGATATCAGTTCCCATGATCCTCAATCAGTTGCTCTCAGTTGTCAGGTGGGAAAAACCAGATCCACACAGGAAGGTTCAATTAAACTGAATTATTCCTGTACAGAAATCATCTCAAACAATGGTTAGCACTGCTTGGAGTTAGATGAGGGTACACAGAATTCAAAGGGGGTTATTAGTATGATTGGGGCTATGTAGGGATTCTGAACTTATCCCTCTTTTAACTCCACCCCCAGCTTCTGCCATTTCTTCTCCTACACCAGGGGCCCACGGGCTGGATGCGTGACCAGGAAACCGCACCAACCCCATTGCCAGGAATGGGGGAAAAGCTCCAATACGTTGTGCGACGTCACGTGACGTCGCAAGTTTGACATGCCTGTCTTACACAGTAGATATGTAGGTTAGAATGAAACCAATTTGGACCCCACCCTCAATTCCCCAGGCTGGAAAAACTAGTCTTTTCCATTAAACATTGCCAGTAGAAATTCTATTTTATAAAAATAGTGTGTGGGAAATTTATTCCAGAGTTTGCTTGTTTTTAATTAATTTTCATTTTAAGTTCATTTTTGATGTTAACTTTATTATTACATTACTATTAGAAACATGTCCATATGTTTGGAATAGCAGATTTTGTTTTTGTTTTTAAGTTGATTTAAATAATAGAAAACAGCCATTTTATTTTATTATTAAATTAGTTAGGATTTAACTAGAAAATAGCTATTTTATTTTATTATTAAATTAATTAGAATTTAACTAGCAACAATTGATGTAAGATATTTAAATGATATCATGTTTGCCTTTAAAAGTTCCAGAAATATTTCATCTAACAAATGCCATAATTAACACATTTTTCTATGATTATGGCAGGATTTGCTTATAGCATTCATTTAATTATCCAATGTATTTTATGACAGAATGTGCAAAAGTGTTACAAAGAGAATAATCCAGGCCTCTATAGATTGACATACAGTATTTCATTCCTTTCTACATATAAATCACACACATAGAAGAGTTTAGAATAATAACAGAATAACTGAATTGGAAAGGGACCTTGGAGGTCTTCTAGTCCAACCGCCTACACAAGCATGAGACTTTATACCATTCCAGTCTCTTCTTAAAAGCCTCCAGTGATGGAGCACTTACAACTTCTGAAGGCAAGCCATTCCACTGGTTAATTGTTCTCACTGTCTTAGTTATAGGTTGCTTCTCTTCTTGATTAGTTTCCATCCATTGTTTCTTGTCTTGCCTTCTGATGCTTTGGAAAATAGGTTGACCCCCTCTTCTTTGTAGAATATTCACCCTGAACAAAAGACAATGAGGAATTCATGATACTTGTAAAGGGAACGTATTAGATTGCAGTCCCAGGCATTTTGCTATAACTGATCTGTACCACTGGTGATTAAACATAAGCAGCAAGATTGAATTTATTCTGGATTCTTAAAATACTGCTCAAAAGCATTACATAATACAAACATAGCAATGATTTCAATTTGTTCTTTTCATGAAATACCTTTTTTAAAAAATGAAGATATTTCTTACCTCCATGACACTTTGCGTTTTAAATATAGAGGACAAATGATTTCAGCTAAATATATTTCCAAACAACGATATAAAACAGTTGAAGCTGTTTATATATTATGTACATGGACTTCTGCCTCATAGGAGTTTATGAGCTCTTCTCCCATCTTATAAATGTTGATTCCTTCTATTTTAAGCTGCAGTTACTTATTTTAAGCAAGAAAGTTTAAAAAAGATCAGAGTGGGAAGTACAGACAGAACACAGGCCAGGTCATGACAATTCAAGGTATAAAAATGGGAGTATAATTTCCAGCAAAAAACAGACACATAACTGGAGGGCTTAATCCTTTCTCTGGTGTACAATGTTCTCCTGGCCAGGTGGGGTTTTTTTGGGGGGGGGATATCTGTTTATTATTTAGCAGGGCAGACACACATTTAGACAATTTTGTATAGAAAAAAGCAGTTGGGTGTAATGATCATTGAAAGAAAGCAACCACAACCAGGCACTTATTACCATCTCTGGTGGATATGTCCTAATGCTAAAAAGTTTTGATTTAAGATCCATATGTGGCTAGAAAAGATGATTAAAATACAGATAGAATTTAAACCAGAACTCTGTTTGTTAGGAATATTAGGTTTGAATTATGGAAAAGAGAATGAGTATTTAATATTGCATGTGTTGACAGCCGCAAGAATAATATTTGCCCAATTTTGGAAAAATGATCAGACTATAATAACAAAAATACTCGAATGTGCAGAAATGGATAGACTGACTTTAGAAATGAAAGAGAAAGAAAACACAATTTACTTTAAAACATGGGGAAATTTTTATTATTGGTTAGAAACACGCTAGAATGAGAAAAGGTTATAGAATTTAAAGAGATAATTGATAATTTTTATTTGTATTCCATGATTATTTGTATGAACTTGTTCTTATTTCTTCTTCTTCTTCTTCCTCTTTGTATATTTGTGATCTTAAACAAGATGGTAAACTATAATTAATATGTAATATATTATTATTTTAAAGTGATTATAATTAATACTAAGCATTTTAAGTAGTGAAATGAATGAGATTTATTGACCAATTTGTTATTTACATGATTTTATGGAAAGTTGTTTAATAATAGAGTAATTATTAAGATTTAATATGTAAACGCGGACTGGTGGACTTGCTGAAGCGATGTTATTTTGTGGGATTAATCCCACTTTTGTGTTACCCCTTTCCCCTGGTTTAACCTTTTTGTATGTTTCCCTGTGTCTTACCCTTTTTGACCCTATCCCTTTATTACCTTTATAAAACTCAATAAAAATATCTATTAAAAAAAGGAAGGAAGGAAGGAAGGAAGGAAGGAAGGAAGGAAGGAAGGAAGGAAGGAAGGAAGGAAGGAAGGAAGGGTGGGGTAACCTTTGAGCATCAGTCTCTTTTGCTCTGAGTCCTCTCCAGGCTCATTTCTTGTTCAAATGTTCAGTAGCAGCTGAAGCTTCCTTCATTTCTCCTACCATAAACCACTGATCTGCCTCTTGCTGCTGAATATCAGTTTTCTAAGCAAATGCTTAGGATAGCAGCATTTTTCTCCCACTGAGAGAGGGCTAGCTTGTGTTTAATTGAATGCTTCTGAATGTTCTCATAGCTGTTTCTGGAAACAGAAGCAGAAGTACAAAATAGGCATATAGTCTGGCAATTCCAGATGGTAGTACTTTCTTTTAAATAAGGAAAGACATTGTATAAATAATGTGAGAAAGAAAGAAAGAAAGAAAGAAAGAAAGAAAGAAAGAAAGAAAGAAAGAAAGAAAGAAAGAAAGAAAGAAAGAACGCTGGAAAAGACATCAACACCTTTTCCCTTACAGATAATCATGCAGATACCCTAGCTTTGATTTATTAGACTTATTAAAAATATTTTTTGGACCAGTAGTATTTTCCTTTGTTGTTGTTGTTAATTGCGAAGTTGTGTCCGACCCATCGCGACCTCATGGACAACGTTCCTCCAGGTCTTCCTGTCCTCTACCATCTTCTGGAGTCCATTTAAGTTCACACCTACTGCTTCAGTGACTCCATCCAGCCATCTCATTCTCTGTCATCCCCCTCTTCTATTGCCCTCCATCTTTGCCAGCATTAGGCCCTTCTCCAGTGAGTCCTTCCTTCTCATTATTTTCCTACATCTCATGTAATAATCAAAGGATGTAGTTTTTCCCCATATAAATGTACACCTATCATCTCTAACATTCCAGAGCAAACAATAATAAATATAAACACCATTCATACATAAAAGATGCATTATCATGTTAAGTAGTACTGTTTGAGAATGCAGCATATAAATATGATTCTCCATTTATATATATATATATATATATATATATATATATATATATATATATATATTAATAGTTTAAAAATTGAATTGGATATTTATGGTGTTGTTTTTTAGAAAAAAAATCATCACCATCACCCTTGAGTTAATTTGACAAAAATAGATGAAGAAGAAATGAAGAACACATATTTAATGTAAGGGCCTACATTATAATTTGGTCCTAGTTTATGCTTTTAACCTTTGACTTGGCCAAAAATCTTTATTCAGCACGTTCTGGCTTATAATTTATTACCCTGATTTTAATGTCTAGAGAATGTATGCTGTCCATAAGAAAACTTTTTCTTTTCCTTACTAAAGACATTTTACTTTGTATTTCAGAGCTGGAATATGGCAACACATATGAAATAGAATACATGGAAAAAATAGGTTCTTCCATAGCCGTAAGTTTCTACTTGTGGAATTTTTGTTGTTTCCTCTTACAGTATTTCTCTATGGTACACATAGAGGAAAGTCACAGTCGAGCTATTCATTTGCATGCAGAACAGCTAAAAGGTTTTGCCAACTTATTCTGTACTTAATTTAATATATCTGAATTTTGGGAATTACTTTTAGCATTGTAATATGTTTCATGATAGGGTAGTTAGGAGACATTGTTCCAGGAAAAGATATATAGTAACATTGCTCTTATATTTTCTTTGACCTCAAGGATGATGATGGCCAGACAAAGCAATCTTTGTACCTTATGTTCAACGCTCAGCAAGAGAGTCCAATCAAGTCTCCACCAGCCCGTTTATCAGATTCTACAACTCCTTGTTCTGGGTACTTTGTTGCATTATCTATTAAAACAGTTGTAAAAAATATGAAATAATCAGAGCTAGAAATAACTTTTCTTGAAGCTTTGTATTGTTCCACATACTGCATGATAATGTGTTAAATTCTTTAGTTGGGTACACTTTGGAATGGCATAGGATAAAATCAGTTAACATTTAATATGTCAACCCCATTAATGACCAAGAGGAGAAAACGGCAACTTAGAAATAATTCATAAAGAGATCGATTACCTACAACTTTAAATATCTAATAGATGCGATATTCATATAGAGTAGTAATGCTGGCAGAAATGGATTTAACGATAGAATGAAATAAAAAATGAAAATATTGCATCATAGTTTTAGTATAGATAGAATGTAATCATATTGTTCACTTGGCTCATAAGCCTGCCATTCAGATGCTGTCTGCTTAGTCTGAAATAAGACCACATGATATGCCAATCATTTTAAACAAATGCTAATTTTAAACAGAAATGCTAATCATAATCTTGAGAATTAGCCTGCTTTGTAATAAAATAATATGTAGGTAAATCGACAATCAATGAATATTTTCAGTTCTCCAGTTCAAAAACGTACTATTCTCTTTCCCTTAGGTCAAGTCTGGAAGAAACAGAAAGTCAGCTTACCTGTGGTATAAAACTACAGCACCCAGCCTCACGATGCCTAGTAGCTAACCAAGAATCATCAGTACAGTCTGATAAAACAAAAGAACTGGAATCTGTGTCCATAGGAAGTGCTTCAGACAACATAGTAAGTTATCAAGGGTTTGGAACATCTCTTCATTGGGCATCTAGCTTGACGGTAAAGCAAGATTGCTGTAGATCGCTGGTCTGAAACTGTTTGACCTAATTACTCCTTTTCCCAGTCTTCAGTAATGCCATTCCCTCCTCAAAAAAAAAAAAAAAAACCAACAAAACCCAGATTCTGTTATTCTCCAGCATGACGAGTGGAGAATTCACCAATGGGTTTGCTTCGTCTTCTGCCCCCATAGACTAAGTCAGCCAAGTTGCCACACCTCTCTCCCTGTGGCCATTAACCCAGTCACGACTTAGTCTTTCGCCCAAGAGGACACACTACTTGGCTCTAGGATCCAGATCGCCTTAGATCAGATCGTATTTAATTTATTTTTTATTCCCCCTTAGAGGAAGAGATAGAAAGCAAACAGCTGTCGTTCGCTGTGGCTCATAGCCACTCGGAGCGGATCCGGCAGGCTTCCACTGAAGCCTTAGCTTAGTCACTCGGCAAGCTAACAAAGGGGCCAGTCACCATTTTTGGCACCACGTGGGCTTTCAGCGTGGGGAGGGAGGAATTTCTCCCCCCAAGAGGATAAAGAACCACCATAGCGCTTGCTATCAGCCAACAAACTAATTCCTGTATGGCAGCAAATTAAAGGGGAAGCTTGTGGCTGCCATTTTTCAAGCCGCGAAATTTAAAAGAACCATCTTGCCAGCTCCCTCTCAGAGTCCTGAACAAGCCGGGCATCAGACAGCTGACCGTCGCATCGGCGGCAAGCCGAAGCCAGCTGGGACCAGCACAGTGAATTTTAGTTCCGATCTTCTCTAAATTGATTCAGGGAAAGCACACGAACTGGAGAATGTCTGACCAGGGGAGGGAAAGGGAGGGCACGCCGCCCTCTCAGCAGCAGAATTATCTCAGTTCAGGGATAATCTCATCCCCCCGCACCATCTGAGCCACTGAGAATCCGGCTCAGTTTCACGGATTTTTCCGCATTTTTCACATTTTTAAGAAAAAAGAGAGAGAGAAGAGGAAGGATTTCACGACATCAGAAAGGATCTGATCTGTCTGCCCAACAATTGTGTGCAGGTTGTATCATTAACTTGATCTCGCTGCCACCAGCAAGTTAACAAGAGTTGGCCACTAAGTGGAGCACAGAAGTGCGGTTGTACCATTAATTTGGGCTTACCACTTTGGAGTGGTTCCAGTCAGTACCAAGTGGCTTTATAGCCAAAGCTGACCTATTACCAGGCTCCTCATTACGAGATTACTCTCAGTCTCAATGCTGAGACATCTCTTTTGGCAATGGCAAACACCAATGTTGCTCAAATGGCACAGGATACCTCCATCAGTCCCCCTGTATGTAAGAGGTCAAGATCATCCAATCAGGAAGCAGCAGGAAGGATCAAGGCCAAAGCAATATATCTGGCAAAAGATCCTCTAAGGCTGCTGATAAGAAGGCAAGATGAAGACACCAGACCCTAGAGAAACAATTTTCCAGGGCTGAAAAGAGACAAAACACAGCAGGAGATGAAATAGCTTCTCCTGCTTACACAGAAATTGAGATATTTGGCTTCTGCAGTCTACTCAGGAACCTCTAGAAACAGAGGCCGATGCAGAACAGACAGAGAGATCCCCCTTAAGTGAAAGGCCTGAAAGCCTGGAGGCACTCTTTACTCACACAGCAGAGGGACTTCGTCCCTCAGACGGCCAGGGAGCCTTATCATCTGAACACTTACAGTCCCTGATATCTCAGGCCGTCGCTCAGGGCATTGCCTCCACAATGGATAATAGGCCCAGGGCCGGGTTTGTAATGTCAAGGGGTTGATCCTACCTTTCCCAAGAGGAAGACACAGCATACCAGGGATCCATTTCCCCATCTCGTTCTTCTAGAAGCACGAGGTCCCCCACTGGGGACTACGAACAAATGGATCAGGGGTTGTGAGAGGATGAAGACATATCCCCAGACTCCCCACCATTCATAGGCCTCTTCAATCCGACCCTCTTTAAATCCCTGCTCCACAAGGCCAGCAGCACAGCAAAGATTAAGAGGCCAAGGATCCCTCAAGAGGGACCCTCTACAAGTCAGGATATTAATAGCAGGGTGTTCTTGGAACCCACCTACACACAGCAGTATATTCCCTGCCCCCTCTCTCTTTTAATACAATTCAGAAAAATTGGGGAGCACCAGGGTCCTTCCCTTCAATGGGGGGGGACAAACAAGAAGCTGTTCAACATAGATTCTGCCTTATTGGAGGTGATAGAGGTTCTGGCAGTAGATGAGCCACTAGCGGCTCTATTTTCACCATCCACGGTATCTGGGGATGCGGCGGAGGCCTTGAGGTCAGAGGACAAGAAGGCGGAACTTACCTTCCGCAGAACAAATCAGGCCTCAGCATAGGCGATAAGGGCAGCCATATCTAACTCCTTCTTTGCTAGAACTTCTATGCTTTGGCTGTGCCAGCTCCAGGCCAGAGTTTCCCCAGAGGAGGAAAGAATCCACCAGGATTTAAGGAGGATAGTGGCTGCAACAGAATTCATGGCAGATTCATCATTGCACACCACCAATTACTCTGCCAGAGCAATAGCATCTAATATCACAGCCCGCAGATTACTGTGGCTCAGACAATGGCGAGCGGACATCAAGGCAAAGTGGCGATTAGCAGCTGCACCTTACAGGGGTGGCCTACTTTTCGGTGAGGCCTTTAGCCCTTACTTAATAAAAAATAAGGACACACAAGATCATGGCTCACCTCTCAAAGAGGGTCGAGAGGAGAGCCCCTACTTATACTTGTAGGCAATCTTTTTGATCCGAAGCAGGCCCAGACCTTACTTCATTTTCCCGTCCGTTTCAGCCCAGATCAGACCGCCAGGTTGACAGGTCCGGCAACAGGGACAGATATAGATGACAATTCTAATCGAAGCAGCCCTTTCAAGGAGCGGGGGGCCGCCCCTTTCGTAAATCCAAGTGACAGCGGGGGATCTTCCCCCATTGGTGGCAGGCTGGCTTTTTTCGCGCACAGATGGCATAAGCCACCACCACGGATCTTTGGGTCCTAAACACTGTCAGATTCGGCCTTTCTCTGGGATTCACCTCCAAACCCCCGAGCCACTTCATACCTTGCCCATTACCCAAGGATCCGATCAAAAGAGGCCTCATCAAAGAGGCCATCCAGCACCTCTTGGAAATCTGTGCCATAGAGCCGGTACCAATGGGACAAGAGGGACAGGGATTCTACTCCATCCTGTTCATAGTGCCAAAGAACTTGGCATGACCATCTTAGCAGCCCCAAACTGGATCTTCAACACATAAACAAGCAATTACAAATTGCTCCCTTACTCAGAACATACTCCAGTTTAAAAACCTCTGCTCTAGATTATCATTTCCCTAAGAGTGGAGAAATAACACTGGGCCATTTCTTGGAAAATATAAAAATATTCTCCCTACTCTGATAGACTTGTGCAAATCCCATCTCTTTAACAAGCAAACAAACAAATAAATAATGAAAAATTAGTTCCCAAAAAAGTTTCCCAGCTCTAATTTGGGAAACTCTGCTATGGGCTGACTTTCCCAAACCTGATTGGGATTTGTGGTCCTTACACATCTAGTGTTAGCAGTCTGCAAAAAGCTCTTTGGAAAAGGAATTATTTCACTAGTTAAAAAGAGTATAATAGAATTGTCTTAAATGTTTTTTTAAGAAAAATCTACATGTGAACTATTCCAAGCAGTTCAATTTTATTTTTTTTTTCTTGCCAGATCTCAAGTTTTTATAGTCTAGCTGAAAAGATATATATTTTACTTCAGATTTGGTTGTCGTTTGTCATATATTTACAGGAGCTAGTGAGTGGTTTTAATCATGAGTAGTTCTCTCAATTTCCTTATCTTTCTTGCTCTTCAGATCAGTCCTGAAGATTCCTATGTTTCTGCTGATGCTCTCCTTAGTAGGATATCTCATCCACCTTTAGTATGTGATCAGCTTCAGTATCTGGAGCCTGACTTAGCAGAAAAGAATCCCCCAGTATTTGCTCAGAAACTTCAGGTTTGTAATGCAGATTTGATTGTGCTCCTTATGAATGTTCTGGTGTGATAAGGGCAGGTTTCTAAAGTGTAGCAAAACTCTGCCATTAAAAAAACCTAAAAATTGTTTGTTCTCTCTCTCTCTCTCTCTCTCTCTCTCTCACACACACACACACACACACACACACACACATACACACACATGCACAAACATATTGAATTTGCTTATGTCCAAAGAAAAAGTGGGTACATAATATATTGATTTTACATAGTTTCACATATGTATATCTTCCTTTCAAATAATCTGATCTGTGAATGATGTATCTGTCTACATCTTTACATTATACATTTCATCTACCCAACTCTCTGGTCATGTCAGGTGAATGGAGATTAAATAATGATGCTGCATCTGCCATTTTACAGATTTTGACATGCCCTTGCCCCGCCCCTCCCTTTCAGCTATAGCTGTTACAGTGTTTAGCTCCGCTTAACTATAAATACCCCTTTTAAGATCATTTTGGCGACATTTCATAGATACTAAACATTCAACATGTAGTTTATAGCTGTATCTCAGGTATGTGTAATTAGCTCCCTGAGGAATAAATGTATATCAGAAAGGATTTTACCGTTAATGAAAAAATTAAAAGAGATGATTGCGGGTTAAATATTTCATGTTATTTCTCCTTAAATCTTGCAACACAATGAACTATAATGTAATTCTCTTGCCTTAGCATGTTGTGTTGGTGGATCAGCCAGTGTGGTTTTGTCAGTTATTGGTAGTTAAAACCCATCATAGCCTAATAGAGTATGTGGACCTCAGCCAATATATATGCAATATCCTAAAACAATTATTCTAATGTATTCTGCAACTATGGGCATTTGTCTTTGCATCGTGCTTAATGGATTTTCCCTGTACATTGTCACAACCATCTCACTGGCAGGAGGAATTAGAATTTGCTGCAATGAGGATAGAAGCCCTGAAGCTAGCCAGACAAATTACCTTGTCTTCTTTCAACTCCTTAAATACTGAGGTATCTCCTCTGCCTGCAGTTTGTGTGCTTAAAAACTGTGTTGCTGCTTTTACTTTAACAATACATTTTTCTGAGTGGTGATGCTGAATGACTTTGGTCTATTGCTATGTAGAAAGATAGAAAAAAGCATGTGAAAGTTTCTTTTCTCTAATCTCAGATGTGGTCACATTCCACTTTGCAGATATGTTTTGAAACTGACTATCACATGAACTTGATCACAGGAATACATTTGGCTGCCATTTTCTTATACAGAAAATGATTTTCACAGTCTAATCAATATATTTTAGAAATATAAATGAGGTTGGTGATTTCTTTTTTTATAACCATATTTTATTAATTTTTATAATCAAATCCTTAATATTTTATCAGCCACATGTTGTCTGGGTTCCAATATTTAGCTTACTAATACATGTTAAACTCCTTTCTCTCTATCTCATTTTTTTAGCCATTGATAAAATGTATCCTATGTTCTAAAATATTCTGAATCTTCTTTCTCCTACATTTTCAATGTAAGTCTGTCCATTTCTACACAGTCCAAAATTTTCCTGAATGTGTCTTCGTTCGCTGGTAATTCTTCATCTTTCCAAAGTTGAGCAAATACAATTCACGCTGCCATTAATACATGTAACATTAAATATACACATTCTTTCTCATAATTTCCTGCAATTATACCTAATAGAAATAATTCTGGCTTAAAAGCTACATGTCATTTTTGTCATTCTCTCTAACCATATATGTGTTCTTGACCAAAATCTTTTAGCCTTAGGGCATGTCCAACAAAGATGATAATATGTGCCTGGTTTTTGTCTACATTTCCAACAATTGCTAGACATATTTTTAAACATTTTTGCTAACCTCACAGGTGGTAACTGCTGTCTGTAAAACATTTTATATAAGTTTTCTTTGTAAGCCACCGCCTTTGTTATTTTAGAATTTCTTTCCCAAAGTCTTTGCCAGTTTTCTAACTCTTTGTTATGCCCAAAGTTTTTTGCCCATGTTATCATTGTTTCTTTAACTTGTTCCTCTTCCATCTTTAAACTTAGCATGTACTTATACACTTTTTTAATCAATTTTTCAGCTGATGCCAATAGTATATGGTCAAATTCTGTCTGTTCTTTATAGAATCCAGATGTTTTAGAATCTTTTTCATATCTCATTTGAATTTGCAGATGTGACCACCATGATAGATCAATAACCTGTTCTTCTAGTTCTTGTCTAGATTTTAGTTTACCTTCAATATTCAAAATGTCTTTATAAGTCACAATTTGCTCATAATTAATTAGGTTTGGGTGAACAAACATTGTTGAAAGCCATTTTTATGTAAATTTTTGCTTTTATCTTTTCCCATTCTAAAAGAAGTGTGTTTCTTATATTGTGGTTTTGAAAGTATCTATGTATTTTATTCTTCCCATACCATAGGAAGGCATGCCATCCAAGTTGTGGGTCATGCCTTTCTAGGTATAGTAGTCTTTTATGTCTAAGGGTTATCCATTCTTTTATCCATATTAGTACAGATGCTTGATAGTATAGGGCCCAATCTGGCAGCCCAAATCCTCCATTTTCTTTTGGTTCTTGTAGCATTTTCAATCTAATTCTGACTTTTTTTTCTTTGCCAAATAAATTTTAAGATCAAAGCATTTAGTTCATCAAAAAAAAAATTCCCCAATTTTATAGGTATTGTTTGAAATAAGAAGAGTAATTTTGATAAGATATTCATCTTCATCGTTGCTATTCTCCCTAACATTGAGAATCATAGGTTTTTCCATTTATCCAGGTCTAGTTTTATTTGTTTAATAGTTTTGTGTAATTGTCTTTTATTGTTGCACATCTTACCATTAAGTATATCCCCAAGTATTTAACTTTCTTAACTATTTGAAGATCTGTTTTTTCTGACAATTGATTTTTTTTTGTTTATCTGTAAGGTTTTTGGTTATCATTTTGGTCTTTTCTCTATTTATTTTCATTCTTGCCACTTATTCAAATTTTTCCATCTTTTTGAGAAGCTTGGGGCTTGACACAAGTGGCTCTTCTAATATGAAAACCAAGTCATCCGCGAATGCTTGTAGTTTATATTTTTCAACTTTTATCTTCATTCCTTTAATTTCTGAGTCTTCCCTAATATTTCTATTTAATACTTCCAGTGTTAATATAAATAATAATGGGGATAATGGACATCCTTGTCTTGTGCTTTTTTTAATGTTAAAATTTTCTGTAAAATCTCCATTTACAATTATTTTAGTTATTTATCTATGATAGATTGTTTTAATTGTATTTATAAAGTTTTCTCCAAAGTCCATTTTATTTAGTTGTTGAATCATAAATTGCCAGTTTGTTATCAAAGGCCTTCTGTGCATCTAGGAATATTAGCGCCATCTGCTTCCCTGGATGCATCTCATAGTATTCCAAGGTGTCTAAAATCATTCATAAATTGTTTTTTATTTGTCTCTTAGGTAAAAATCCGTTTTGGTCTGCCAATCAGAAATCTCTTTACTCTTTCTGCTATTATTGAAGCAAAAATTTTATAATCCACATTTAATTGAGATATTGGTCTATAATTTTTTATCTGTGTCAAGTCTGAGTCTTTTTGGGGTATTAAAGTAATATTCTTCTGGTATTTTAGCTTCTAAAAGTACCGTTACATGGTTCTTTCATTAATGGGCTTAATATATCTTGTAGGCATTTAAAAAACTCTGCAGATAGCCCATCTGGACCTGGGGTCTTATCATTTATTCATTTATTTGCCTTTTTATGGCCTCTGTTACCTTCATCATTGATATTTTTTCATTTAGCATATTTTGGATATTCTCTGAGATTTTTGGTAAGTCATTTTTTTATGTATTGCTTTATTTTTTCTTGTGAAATTTCTTCTGAGTCGTAAAGTGTCTCTTCTGTGTCGTAAAAGTCTTTTTTGAGTGCCATTTTGGAATTGTAAATCGCCTTTTGAGTATTGCAGTTTGTTCATCAATTTTTTCTTTCATTCATTTTTTAAATTTGTATGCTAACCACCTATCTGGTTTATTAGTGTTTTCAAAAAAGTTTTGTTTTGCCCTTTTAATTTGTTGGGCCATTTTTTTCAGCCTCTGCTAGGTTTAATTTATGTTTTAGGTTGGTGATTTCTATAGAAGGGCATGGAATAGACACTATGTATATTATGGAGAATACTCAGAGTTTGGAGAATGCCAGAAACACATGCAATCTTAGAAGAATTGGGTGAAAATTCTTCACAGTTGTGTGATGTATACCTAAAATAGGAAAAATGAAAAATAGGAAAAATATTCATAGTTGTATGATGTATATCACTGTATATCCAAAAATTTAGTATGGCAAGAATTCAGAAAAGTGTTCTGTTTTTTTTTTTATCATTTTGTAAATAAAACAATTCACCAAATTTGGGACACTTGCTATAGCATGTTATTGCTTGAAAATTGGCTTTATCTGCATGCCAATGATTTCATGGATCAATGCCTTGAGAAGTAAAAATTGGTACTCAACCAGTTTAAAAAATGGATGGATTTGGATCCAGGATTTTCTTCCCACAGTTTCTTCCCAGCTTTTCCTAACTGCAGAAGATTTCTAATCTAACAACACTCTTCTTTCTTCTTGTAATCCCCCATGCCCTTTAAAAAGATTTCCTATATGGTTGTTGGCCACATAAAACACAGTGAGAGATGGTCCTGCAAAAAAATGGGTGATTAAGCAAGCTGCATCTATCTCTTCCCATTGGCTGGCACAAATGAAACTGCATCTAGAATTGTTGCCATGGGGGATGAGATGGACTTTAATCGTTGGCTAAATTGTCTAAATCTGCAATAAGGAGCTTTAGTCATAAGCAAGAAATGGTGCCTATATAGTCAAAGAGAACGCGCAAACTGAGGTGTCACTTTGTTGGTTTAGACAATTTTGACAAACTCTGTGATGTCAAAATTGCACACTGCATACAAAAAATTGCAAAAGCCAGGATTCATATCTGTCTCTGTGTGTGTGTGTGTTAGAAATTCTGTGTAGATGACAGTTTTGCTCTTTAGGCAACAATCCACATTTCAATCCACTTAAGAAGTGGTTTAAAATAATGGGAGGAAACAGATTCTAAGAGGAGGAAGAGGCCTCATACATTAATCTCTTCTTTATACATTAAGATCAAAAATGTTTTGTTTCTTTTTTCCCCACCTGCTATGCCCACAGCATGCTGGCTGTTGACATATTGGAGTGAGGTTGAGCCTGTGGTGCATACAATCTAAACTAGAGTGAAATGTTAGTTCTTAAATCATGTGTTTGATCTGTGTAGCTTCCCTGGAAGACTCCTTATGGTGATATCAGTGGAAAAGAGCTCATGGGGTTTTCCTTATAGGAGGTTATATGTGCTTTGTGTTTCTGGTTTTGTTTTTTTTAATTCTGATGCCACCTGAATATTTTCCTGCCAGTGCTGTATCACAGGCTGAAAACATTCATTTCAAAACAGGGAGGTATGAACTATTGCCACTAATTTGTTAGTCGTAATCTATACGACAGACTACCAAGCTATACGTTTTAACCTAATTGTATTTTGCATTACTGTGACTTGAGACTCTGTTGTTGCTGATTGTGACCAAGGTAGATCAGGACAAAAGTCTTCCTGTTTTTCCTCTCTATGATTATTCAGTTAAATTGTGTAGTCTGAAAAATCTGATAGATCTGATAGTATCTCAGTTGAATCTGTATAAATGTTGATTTAAATATCCTAGCATTCTTATATATTTAATTTTTTCATACTTCAGATTTTTTATTCTGTTTCCAGTATTGAGCATTATAACTAATATATTCTCCCCCCCCCCCAGTTTTTAAGTCAGAATTTGGCTGCCTGGTCTGATTTAATGAAGATAATTCTAAAGGTATTCTTTTCTTCCAATAGTTAGAGCCTGCAACTCCAACATTATAACATATCTGAGTTAAATCTGCAGCAGAGCAGTCATATTGCTGGTCCACTATGTGCTGACAAGTTTGGGAGGGACATTGATCACTGC